GTCTGGTTTATTAGAACTTTGCAACATTTGGTGATAATATGACTTATAAGATGCGATGAGTTTTGGTACGGGATGTGAGAGAGTTTGGGTTGAGTTACGAGTTTGGGTCTTTATCATGAATGTCCATCTTTTTGTGGAAACACCATAAGTGGAAAGGTGCATAGCTTGTTTTATGTATCTCTCTGCTTGTTTTATTTTTCGTAAGAGTTTTACGGCACTTGCAACACAATAAGGTCAAATAAGAGCCAAAGATTAGAGGTGTTACAAGAGAATAACAAACACAAAAAAGAAAGAGGGGAAATAAAGACAATAAAATTAGATGTTTGATAGTAAAGAAGAAGCAAACCACACCAGAGCACCCGCCAACCACCCACCCTCGGCTTGACCAAGTACTAGTTCGGTCTGAAGTTAGCAACGTGCACAAACACAAACAAACAAACACACACACACGCACACCTGTAATCATACACAGATAGTTCATTCAGACCCACATACATGTCCGTAATTATAGAAATACACAGTACTCTCACACATGTCTGTAATCAGAGAAGTACACAGTACTCTTTTACACACAAATGCGCGCGCGCACACACACACACATTTAATAATAGAAATACGCAGTACTCTCTCACACACACAAAAGCACACACACACACCTGTAATCATAAATATAAAAAGTATTCTCACAGTATAAGTATAACACCCTTGCACAATTGTAATCACATCCCACACAATACATTTATGTCCACAAAAATAAACCACCGCACACACTACACACAGTCCCACACGCACATACAATTCCACACACAATTCCTAACACGTCTACAACCCCACACACATGACAATCCAGCACACAGACCTACAATCCCAAGCACAATCCTCCACACACACCTACAATTCCCCCACACAATCCCCCGCACACCCACCTGTAGCCAGGATTCCCCCTGTACGCGGGTACTTCAGCCCTCAACACCTCCGTCTCTCTGACCCGTGTGTCCTTGCGGTGGGCAGGGCTTGGCTTAGTCGACAGGTCAAGAGGCTGGTCACTGTCCTGATTGGCAGCAGCTGGGGGCGGCGCATAGGAAGTGTGGCCATGCTTGGAGGCCTCCTGACTGACATGCTGAGGAACTTTGTCTCTGAGGCTCCGCGCCGAGGACAAGTTTGTCTCGTAGATACTTGTGTGGTGGCTCGGGGGTGGGATATTTCTAGTTGATTTCTCCCCGTCCATGTACTTGGCATGTGTCGAGGGAGGTTTGGACGAAGGCGCGCCATGTGCAGGACCTGAGGAGTGACCACTGTAGCCCGGATAGTGACCAGGTGATGGGTTCTGAGCTCGGTGGTCCATGTAGCGGTTGTGAGAGTGAGCCTCTCTGCTTAACGCTGGGTTTGGTTGTGGAGGTGGTGGGGGGCCTGGGTTCGGGCCCTCTGGGCGAGGCCTTTGAGCAGCAATGTAGCTGGGGATAATGGCCTGGGGAGGAAGACCTTGACCGGACACGGCAATGACCGGACGGAGAGACTCAGTGGCAGGAGGGGGCTGACCTTGTGCAGGGTAGTAGTCCTTTGAGTTTCGCCTCGCTGACTGAGACGAGTTTTGGTAAGGGTGATAGTGCGGTACGTGAGACTGGCCATGGCGCAGGTTTGGATCCGGTGGATCTGTCTCCGCTTTGTGTACTGATGGGTATTGTTTGAGGTGAGGGGGGAGGGAGGGGGGGTGAGATGATGGGTGGGTCAGTGGGTGAGGTGGAGATTTCCCCCGCGAGAAGTGGGCCACACAGCTGTGGCAGGAACACGACTTGGTGGGGATGTGGGAGACTGGAACCAGCCGACTTCCACCGCCGCCCCCACCACCACCACCACCACCACCCTCTCGACCTCCACTGCCTAGACTCTCACTGATCTGCTCAGCCAGGATGAGAGGAGGAGGGGGCTTGGAGGTTGGCGGGTGTCCTGCAAGCTGCTGTGGGCGTATGTGGCGGGAAGGATGTCCCAGCAGGAGGTTGGGCAGGTGCTGGCTGGGACCACGCCCATGGAACGATGACTCTCCGGGGATCTGGTGAGAATAGTAGGGGGCTGAAGACGATGATGATGTTGATGATGACGATGATGCCGTTGAGATAACTGGAGGAGGGTGTTTACTAGAGGGTGAGTTTGCCGCCGGGTGAGCATGTCTCTGAGGTGACATGTGGGGGTGGTAAGGTGAAGAGTGGGAGGGGCCATGGGCGGCGGCTAACAGAGCCTTTCCTGACATCCCGTGCTGTAAAGAGCCATGAGGAGCAAAGTCTAGAGGTGGTGGGCCTTGTGTAAGGCGGGCGTGGGGAGGAGGGGGAGGCGGGTGGGTGTTGTTGCTGCTTCCACCACGGGACAGTCCCACGTCCGCTGGGTGGTGGTGACCGCCGGGCCCAGACTGAGAGCCCCGGTACTCCACACCGTGCGGGTTGTTGTGGTGGTGGTAGCCAGAGGAGGCGGCGGCAGCAGCTGCAGCCTTGGCCTTCATGTCCTTGGCCGTGTCCAGCGCCCAGTTGCCCGAGCTGTTGATGGGACTTCCCAGGCGCGGCCGTCCACGCTTACGTCCCATGGTGCTGGACTGATGTTCCTTGTTCACTGAGTGTCTCTGCAGCTCCATCAGATTCCGGTTTGGTTTGCTCACGTAACCCAGCGACGAATGAGAGCCCGCTGAGACCCCACCAGGGGATTGACCACTACCAGACTCACCTCCCTTGCTCCCTGTAGCTGAGGATTTGGCAGCGTCGCCAGGCGTCATCAGCTTACTGACCACTTCGGTCTCGGAGATGACGCGATCCACGATGTCCTGTACGCTGATGGTGCTGTCAGAGCCAGACTTGTGAGCTGATGACGTACCACTGTCCTCCTTCTTATTCTCCACTTCCGAGTCAACTTTCACCACTCTTGTTGAGGGGGCAGCTTCCGCTTTTGTCTTCTCCTTCTTCTCATCTTCCTCGTATGTTAGAAAATTTTGTATTAGCATTCTTTCTAGATGGTCTTTGAAACACAACGTTGTGGCTTTTTTTGGCCCCTCCATCTTTATGACAGAAACGTCTGGTTCTGACTGAGCTGTGCTGCTATCCTGAGACGGCGATTTTTCAGATTTTTCAGATTTAATAGTCACCTCCGGAGGTGAGGGGGGTAGGGGGTCTTGTAAGGATTTATCCAGAACTTTGTCAATCAGAGTTTGTAGTCTCATGGGAGGGGAAGACCTCTGTGTGGCAGCTGCCACGGAGTGGGGTTGAGTGGAGATGGCTGACGGCTCCTGATGTCCTGATGACGGGTGATGGGGAGAATTTTTCGCCGAGTCATCCTTCCCGAGGATGGGGGAAGTAGAATCCCGTTTGTCCCCCGCTCCGAACTTTGAATCACTCCCACTCTTTTGACGCTCCGCTGAATGACCCGAATGACTGCTACTATCCCCAACCTTTTTCACACTGGAAGGCGCGAGAACATCCCCACAAGAATTCATCCCGTCTGTCTTTTTCTCCTCTGGAGTTGCCACAGAATCTCCCGGTGTGCGTCCTTGACTTGCCTTCCCATCTGGATTGCCAGACTTCTCTTTAGAGGAGTCAGACCCAGGCTCTGTGGCATTCTCCAGTGTAGGCTTACCCGTACCTCCATGTGAAACATCGCTTTTAGCAAATGAGGATTCCGAACTTTTAGTGGTATCCCCAACCACCTGTCTGCTGTGACTAGAGCCATCTTCACAACTAGAGGTATTGGCCGGAGGGGCGGAGTCACCTCCCGCTGCGGTGGCATCTTTGGGCCGGGGGTCCTCTGAGTCCCGGGTGTTGTCTCCGCTGCTGTCGGATTGACCAGAGGCCTGAGACGGACCACTGCTCTCAGAGGGCGGCGACATGTCGTTGGTCTGCTGCGACAGACAGTTCTCAATGTAGGTGTCTATGGCAGCCCGTATGGACATCTTGTTGGTGTCCGTGGTCTCCCCAGCCCGCCCCACCGGGCGGCCAGCCCCGACCACAGAGTCCTCTCTCGTGTCGGGCCGGCTGGCTAGGGAGGCTCCGAAGATCCCATGACTTCGCCATGAGGCGGCCAGCGTGGCAGCATTTCTGGCCGCTTCATCCAGACTCTCCTGGCTCCGCGCGATAGAGGTCAGGGAGGATGGGGGGCCGGTGGGTGCTCCTGGCCCCGAGCCTTCAGCGCCTGTCGAGTTGTACTGTCCCATGCTGGAAGTCTGCACAGCTCAGCTCCGGCCTGGCAAGACACACAGACAAACAGATCGGTAAGTTTAAGTGAAAAGAAGCACATTTTTTGTTTGTTTGAATGAAGCGAAGCACATTGATACAGTAATGGTCATTTATCACTGGGAAAAGTAAGACAGACAGGATAAACAGATGGAAAGTAAAGAAGTAGGACCTACCAGTGGAGCCACCCACCCACCCGCATAGACAAGCGCCTCGAAATGACAACAGTCGTTTTGTACAGGGAAAATGTAAGACTGGCTGATAGAAAGAATTGAGGGGGAAAAGTTTTGCAACACAATCAGGTCATAATATTGTAAGTGCCAACTATTGGAGGTGTTACAAGAGAGTAACAAACACAAAAAGGAGGAGAGGTAAGAACGACATGTATATGTTTGACAAGAAAGAAGGAGCAAATCAGACCAGAACACCCGCCAGACACCCACATATTGACAACAGACAAAGAACACGAAAGTCTCCAGTCACCACCCGAGCTCAAGAGACACATTCCGCAATGGTATCTACAGAATCGTTTTCTTTTTGCAGCAGTAACGGCTCAATGCATCCAAGGAGTTCGTGAAAACCTTTTTCCATCACTGTGAGGCACCGTCTCGTACGTACATACTTAGATCAAGAGGGTCTTAATTAGGACGGTCATTAATTTAAGGAATCGGCAATGACAGCGCCGTCTTCAAAGGGCGAGACAGTATGAAACAATCACAAAGCGTCAATTGGAAAGTTGTGTTCATGAACGAAAGCAGATTACCGCTATCATAACTGCTGACGGGCGAAGACAAATTTGGCAAACGATCAGGCGAACGTTTTGCCGATGTTTGTGTTCTGAAACGCGACCGATATTGCACGTGTGTGTGTGTGTGTATGTGTGTGTGT